TAGGCAGCAACAAAGGATCTGTTGGACTCTCGAGTGAGTCACCCGCTTCCCTTGGTCAGTCAGGGACTACGATGAGGTAATGCTCACCTGACCCTGAAGGGGTGGCAGGGCAAAGCCAAGAGGGAAGAAAGAACATGATAAAAGGGAGAGATGTTTGCCATGCTCTTTCTCTCTCTTCCACCTCCACCTACAGACACCACCACCAAGTGTCTGAAGCACTGATCAAAGGGGAGAGCCTGGCTGAAGAGCAAGAAGCCAGCCTGTGGTGAGAAGCATCTAAGGCTTGTAAGGGCACTGAAAGTGTTAAGATCAGCTTAGAATGCATTTTGCTTTTATTTCATGTGACCAAATCTGACTTGTGCTTTGACTTATAATCACTTAAAATCTATCTTTTATAGTTAATAAATTTGTTTGTTTATTCTACCTGAAGCAGTGTGTTTGGTTTGAAGTGTTTCAGAGACTCCCCTCGGGATAACAAGCCTAGTGCATATCAATTTCTTTGTTAAATTGACAAACTCATATAAGCTTGCAGCATCCAGCCGGCATAACTGGACACTGCAAGACGGAGGTTCCTAGGGTTGTCTCTGGGACCAGAGATATTGGCTAGTGTCATTTGGTTGCACAATCCAAGCAGCTTACATGCCAGAGGCTGTGCGTGAACAGCCCAGGAGTGGGGGTTTCTCACAGCAGAGCAGGGTAAGGCTGGCTCCCAGAGTCAAGGATTGGAATGACCTAGCAGATCACCGGTCCAGATAACACCAGGGGAACGTCACAGAGGGTCAGTCAATAGAAATATGAAGTTGGCTGCTATCCAAATAAAATGTCAAAGACTGACATAGCAATGGGACATCCCAAAGAAGAAATGCACTGGAGAATTACAGAGTGGAGGAGGTGGAAGATTAGATGCGTTTCAGAAATAAAAATTGTGTATTTAAAGAGGGTGGGACTCGTACCAGGAGAGGAAATCCTTATCAGAAGAAAAGGATAGAGGACCAGATTCTTGGCTCTGTTAAGGCTCCTTTGTGCTGTTCTGGGAATGCAAAGCATCAAGCTGTTGCAGGGAATATGTCCAGGGAAAGGGGGTATGGTCTGAAAGACGCAAACACTAGAGCTAATCAATTTTTTTTGATGTATAGCATTTTTTCTCAATATAAAATAGCTATGGGACAAAAATGAAGTTTTTAATGGAATTTTTTATTTTTGTCAACGTTTTGTTTTTAGATGAAAATTACAAAACAAAATGAAAATTTTAATTAAAAAAAGTATTTTGTTTTTCAGATATTTTCCCTTTCCCCTCCCCTCTTTCCAGCAGGAATTTTATGTTTAGATTTTTTTTCAGAAAACAAAACAAAAAAAATTAAATTATATTTCAAAAATTCCAACCAGCCCTTCTAAATACATGCGAACACACACAAATATAATATAAAATGAGTAAAATTGCTATGCTAATTCTAACTGTTTGTTCAGAAATTACTTGTTAATGTACTCACACCATGATTTTTGTTGATAGATAATTCTCAAGCCCTGATTATATTCCTGGCGTTCTTGATTATTGTGACATCAATTGCCTTACTTATTGTTCTGTATAAAATCTATGATCTCCACAAAGAGAAATTAAGGTAAGTTTCTCCCTCCTCCATCTCCTTTTTTTAGAAGTAGAAAAATCATTTTGAAGGTTTTATAAAAGAAAGTGATGATGTTTTAAATATATGGGTTAGCTACTTCATTTGATATTTGAAAAAAAAATACCTCTACCTTTAAAAAAAAAACAAGAAAAACTAAATAATGGATATTTTTAGTGGCTTGCATGGTAGGAGGCACAGTATAAGAATCTAATATAAGAGAACAGAATATCTGTGATTTAATGTTATTCAAGTTACCAAAGAGCTGGTCAGATAATTCACAAATAAATGTGCTCAAAGGCAGCCCCTGTTCTGCTGTTGGTTCAGCTGGTACAAACAGCTTCATTCCCTCCCTGAGTCAGGAAGGCAACTCATCGAGCCAGCACATTAACTCTGTTAGAATATCCTTGAATAAAAATGAATTACTCTGGATTCATCAAACTCAAGTTACTGGGCTCACTATAGGAGTAATTGGATTCAATTCTATGGCCCCTGTTATACAGGAGGTCAGACTAGATGATCTAACGATCCCTTCTGGCCTTTAAATCTATGAATCTATAAAGGTTTTCTATAAGCAGAATTCTTGCCAAACCATGAGAAATAAATATTCAGCATTTATATTTTGTTTTTATATGAACATTAGGTTGTATCTGGCTTTCCTTAGCGTGCACAATGATCAAGGTGCTATACAGACTTTTCTTCCAGGTCTATGCTAAAACAGAAGATTTCAGAACAGTGTTAAGGGATCTGGGGTTTCATGCAGAAGTTTGACCTCAGATACGTAATGGCAAATCAGAGAGCACTAGCTCCACTTATGAATTGGCAGTAGTGTTCTAAAACTGAGGTCTCAGTCCTCAGCTGTGCCAAGTTCATGCTCAGCTTGGCTAAAGATGGGAAGGCGAGTGTGTGTAGTTATAATTTGCTCTTCCACCTCCTCTGATCCTGGGACCACTAGGGGACTCCCATACGATATAGGAATCCCTGGCTGCCTCTGTCGGGCAACAAAGTGCCATAAAGGGAATTTAACCTGGTTTGAAGATCTCTCTGCACTCCTCCCCAGTCCCTGTAGTCCTATAAGACTCTACCTTTATTTAATTAATTGTATCCTTTAATTCATTGTCATACATAGATTGCATTAGTCGAACCTTAACAAACACTCATGCTTTTTACAGCAATTCAGGTGAAGATGTGGTGCTTGTTAAGAGGGGTAAGTACATTTTCCATATAAGATATGTTTAGTAAGTGGAAATAAGATATTAGCGAAATATCTTATTCCAGCTCATAGCCATCTATATTTTAGATGGCTAAAGTCTAATTAATGTACACAAATTAGATATTAATACAATCAAACCTTGCCCAGGCCAAAGCTAGAGGTCAGTAATATTCTATACATGTTATTTAAGTGAATGATTGCAACTTTATTAAATGTTGGGAAAACTTGGAAAATCTAATATTTATTATCTTGACAGTAAAACTATTTCTGTATCTCAAACAATGGCCATAACAAAATACAGAAAGGGGCTTCAGAATACCTCATGAGATTCATCTCTCAAGTGAACTCACCCCAAGTAGACCTTTACATGATCCAAGAATTGAGTATAAACAAGAGGTGCCTCAAATCTGTGCTTAATTATAAAGGCCTTTCTGGATGCCCTATGCCTAGTACCTTGCACACCCTGAGTTTACCAGCAATTCCTTACCCCCCCTGAAAAATGGGAAAGGAAGAGCCAGTGATTGGTTTGGCAGACAGTACCAACTAATCCCAAATTAATTCACTGGGAACAAATAGTTTTTATACCAGGGACAAAGAGTTTAAAAACAGTTATGTCCGGAGATTGCTCCATTTAGTATGGGAAGTTGTTCTCATTAGATGGTGAAAAGTAGTTTGATTGTGTTGACTGGGATTATCTGTAATAAATTTGGGAAATTTGGGAAATTACTTGTATGAACTAATGGTTTCAATTCCATTTTTTAATTTGCAAAGGATAACTTGACAAGGTTGCCCATTTTTGCATCCTCCTTGCTCTTCCTGTTTCCTTCAGCTCTAGCACCCTGAGTAATTTCTCGTAGAGAAGCAATAATATGAAGAAATTACACCGGAGACAGACTTTTGCTGTTTTCTGTGCAGCTGATATTATTTTATTATTGATTTAAAAGAAACCAGAATCCACTTTTCTATGTGCCTATTGAAAGATTATAAACTTATTTCTGGTTATAAAATTAATTATACTAATTGGAAGATGGCACTTTCACAATTACATCCATTTGTCCTGTTTCTGTATGGAATACCAAAAACATTTAATTTAAATTGGAATCAAAATGCACAAGGACTTAACATTGTAATTAACGCTAATAACTCAGGGAAGACCGAATGATTTTCACATTAGTTTCTGACATTAGTGTAATGGTTACTGTTACTGTGCATAACACAGTAATATAATTTATTACAGCTAAAAAATGCTTAATTATTACTCAAATGTAAGTGGCAGCACAATCTAACCATTGTCCCTGTTTGGGTTGAAGTGTCTCGTGCCAGGTTCAGATGTTGCTATGGCCTTACTAGCCACACACTCACCACTTTCCCAAGTGCTGCTACTTCTCTATACACAGAAGGTACAGAAGTCTTAGAATAATAGAAATGTAGGGCTGGGAGTGACCTCAGGAAATCATCAAGTTCAGCCCCCTGCACTGTGGCAGGACCAAATAAAGCTAGACCATACCTGACAGATGTTTGTCCAACCTGCTTTTAAAAACCTCCATTGATGGGGATTCCAGAGCCTCCCTTGGAAGCCTATTCCAGAGCTTAACTACTCTTATAGTTAGAAAGCTTTTCCTAGTATCTAACTTCAATATCCCTTGCTGCAGATTAAGCCCATTACTTCTTGTTCTACCTTCAGTGAACATGGAGAAAAATTGACCACAGTCCTCTTTATAACAGCCCTTAATATATTTGAAGACTATTATCAGGTCTCCCCTCCATCTTCTTATCTCAAGACTAAATCTGCCCAGTTTTTTAACCTTTCCTCATAGATCAGATTGTCTAGATCTTTTATTATTTTTGTTCTCCTCTGGACTCTCTCCAATTTGTCCACATCTTTCCTAAAGTGCAGTGCTCAGAAATGGACACAGTCCCGGTGTGCAGTGTTTCTTTGACCTGTCTCCCGCTGGAAAAGTTCAGTTGCTTTGGGGGCTCTGTTTACTCACATTTGAAGGGGTGGGACTTGGTGCTATAAACATATATGGCTTACTTTGATTGAATGTTTCTGTTCTCGTTAGCTAATCTTACTGTTTAATAAATGTATTTACTGAGATTTTATGTACATTTTTAAAACCAATACAAATAAGTATCAAATATATGTCTGTATATTTAAAGATGATGAAAAACAACTGATGAATATAGAGCCAATTCCTGCAGAAATGTTGTTGGAAACCTACAAGAGAAAGATTGCTGATGAAGGAAGACTTTTCCTTGATGAATTTCAGGTTTGTGCCTAGTCAGAAATATAACACAAATCCTAAACCCAGATATTATGGAACATGCCATTAAGAAGAATCTGTCACATTCAATAACCAACCCCTTTTGTTTTGTGTTACAAAACATCTAAGATTAAGAACCCCTTGTCCCCATCTCAGAATAGCCAACAGGCTGGTGAATAAGGCACTTATCTGAGAGACCTTGCTCTGAATCAGACAGAGCCAATATATACCTACCATCTCAGATGGGTATGTACTCAGGACATCTAGCTGCTTGTAGTGCCATGGCTACATTCTATTTTTAGTGCGCTAGCTTGATCAGAGCTAGCACTGGTATGTCTTCTCAAGCTCAGAATTACACCCCCAGCTCAAAGTGTAGACAGAACCTTAAGCTGAGCCAAGGTGGTCACAACTGCTGTGGGTTTTAGGAACCCTCAACTTCTAAAGATTTTACTTTTATGAGTTGAAATTAGAAGTGTATTATTAATTATTATTATTATTTTATTTATTTGTTTTGCGGTAGTTTATAGAAGCCCCAGTCAAGGACCAGGGCCCCTTTATGCTGCATTTCAGAGCAGTTTTATTAATTTCTGTTCAGACTAGAATCCAACATGGAGCTTCCTTATTAGTCTTTTGAGGGAGAGAGAAGCATTTTTTGATCATATGGAAAAATATATTAATCTTTATATAACTTAATATTTGTTCAAAAAGCTAATCAGCATGAATCATAATATTGTGAATAACAGAATGTTATCTTCCAACTGTCATTAAGAACTAATTAACAAGTATGTGAATTTTCTTGCCAGTTGAAGTTATCTAAAATGTGTTTTATGAATAAAAGAAGCATTATATTTTACAGAGCATTCCCAGAGTTTTCTCTAAGTTTTCAATAAAGGAAGCACGCAAAAACTACAACCAAAACAAAAACCGTTACATTGATATTCTCCCTTGTAAGTACTGAATGCAAATTCCATACATTGTGTAAATACTTCATTGTTTTCGCTTACATCAGTATATTGAGGCAACTTGGTTAATGATTCCATTACATTGTTTTAAATTATCTAAACAGATGATTATAACCGAGTTGAACTCTCAGAGATGAACGGAGACCCAGGATCAGACTATATAAATGCAAGCCATATTGATGTGAGTGACTTCTCTCAGTAAATTTTTTGATGCACAAATGAAAAATGGTTTATACGTGTCCCATTTCACGCACCAAATGCATTTGATTGACTCTTCTAGAACTGATTGTTTCCACTTCTTTATTTCTATCTTTATACTGTTTAGTACTATTGGATTGGTGTCCATATTATTGTGCATGTTAAATATGTAGATTTCTGAAGTGACAAATCTTTTCACAATCTTCATCTGCTATCTTTAAATGCTTAGTAATGATGTATATTTTTAAAACAGGGTTTCAAAGAACCAAGGAAGTACATTGCTGCACAAGGTAAATTTTTACTTTATTTTGTATTTAATTCTTCACCCAATTATCCTGTAATCAAAGTGGTGGAGTCAAACAGTATTAATATATTTAAACAAAAATTGGATGGCCAGCATACGTGGAATTTAATAAATAAAGCAGTGTTTGGGGAGTTATGACCAACCAAAGAAGGGAATTTGAGGAGTGCAGAATGGATTTTTTTCAAATTATGCTTCATACATATTGGCTATAAGTATTTGCTTTATTTTTAAACTGGAGAATTTTTCCCCTTTTCAGCCACACACCAATAAAGTTTTAAAAGTATGTAGAGTAAGATGGTGGAATCGTAATTAAGTCATTGAGGGTATGTCTACACTACGAAATTAGGTCGAATTAATAGAAGCCGGTTTTATAGAAATCGGTTGTATACAGCCGATTGTGTGTGTCCCCACATAAAATGCTCTAAGTGCTCTAGTCCACAGTACCGAGGCAAGCGTCGACTTCCGGAGCATTGCACTATGGGTAGCTATCCCACAGTTCCCGCAGTCTCCGCCGCCCATTGGAATTCTGGGTTGAGATCCCAATGCCCGAATGATGCAAAACAGTGTCGCGGGGGGTTCTGGGTACATATCGTCAGGCCCCTCCCCCTCCGTCAGAGCAACGGCAGACAATAGATTCACGCCTTTTTACCTGGGTTACCTGTACAGACAACATACCACGGCAAGCATGGAGCCCGCTCAACTCAGCTCACCGTCACCATATGTCATCTGGGTGCCGGCAGACGTGGGACTGCATTGCTACACAGCAGCAGCAGCTAACTGCCTTTTGGCGGTAGACGGTGCAGCATGACTGGTAGCCTTCATTGGCGATCTGGGTGCTGGCAGCCGTGGGGCTGGCAGCCGTAGGGCTGCATTGCACCAGCCCTTGCCTTTTGCCTTTTGGCAGTAGATGGTTTATTACGACTGGTATCCGTCGTCATCGTACTGCAGAGGCTGTCAATCATGGGCACCTGGGCAGACATGCTCAGTCCTATCGAACTGTCTTGACAATGATGGCTGTCAGTCGTAGTATGCTATTTTCTGCCAAGCGCCCAGTATTTTCTGCTAAGCACCCAGAAGAGGCCGAGGGCGATCTGCGTGCTGGCAGACGTGGGGCTGGCAGACGTGGGGCTGCATTGCTACACAGCAGCAGCCCCTTGCCTTTTGGCAGTAGATAGTATATTATGACTGGTATCCATCTTCGTCATACTGCAGTGGCTATCAGTCTTAGTACACTAACTGCCAAGCGCCCAGTATTTGCTGCCAAGCACCCAGAAGATGCCGAGGGCTATCAGTCATGCTGCACCATCGTCTTAAGATGTAAAAAATAGATTTGTTCTGTATTCATTTGCTTCCCCCTCCCTCCGTCAAATCAACAGCCTGCTAAACCCAGGCTTTTGAGTTCAATCTTTGGGGGGGGCCATTCTGTGTGACAGTTGTTTGTGTTTCTCCCTGATGCACAGCCACCTTTGTTGATTTTAATTCTCTGTACCTGTACGCCATGTCGTCACTCGCCCCTCCCTCCCTCCTTCACCTGGTCCGTCAGATACTAGTTTCGCGCCTTTTTTCAGACCAGACGCCATAGCTAGCACTGGGATCATGGAGCCCGCTCAGATCACCGCGGCAATTATGAGCACTATGAACACCACGCGCATTGTCCTGGAGTATATGCAGAGCCAGAACATGCCAAAGCAAAACCAGGACCAGCCGAGGAGGTGATTGCAGCGCGGCGATGAGAGTGATGAGGAAATTGACATGGACATACACCTCTCACAAGGCACAGGCCCCAGCAATGTGGAAATCATGGTATTACTGGGGCAGGTTCATGCCGTGGAATGCTGATTCTGGGCCCGGGAAACAAGCACAGACTGGTGGGACCGCATCGTGCTGCAGGTGTGGGACGATTCCCAGTGGCTGCGAAACTTTCGCATGCGTAAGGGCACTTTCATGGAACTTTGTGACTTGCTTTCCCCTGCCCTGAAGCGCCAGAATACCAAGATGAGAGCAGCCCTCACAGTTGAGAAGCGAGTGGCGATAGCCCTGTGGAAGCTTGCAACGCCAGACAGCTACCGGTCAGTCAGGAATCAATTTGGAGTGGGCAAATCTACTGTGGGGGCTGCTGTGATCCAAGTTGCCAGGGCAATGAAAGACCTGGTGATATCAAGGGTAGTGACTCTGGGAAACGTGCAGGCCATAGTGGATGGCTTTGCTGCAATGGGATTCCCAAACTGTGGTGGGGC